TTTTTAACAGTTTACCTTTTCACAAAAGATCATCTGTCTTTTAAATCTTGTGATGTAAAATAAAGATGGTAAGTAGAGTTTAGTGCAGTAGGAAGGCAAGTGTTGGTGGTCAGGTGCCTACAGACTAGGTACTGATCCTAGTTAGACAAGGGCAACAAAACAGCCATGGGTGCAGAAGATTTCTCTCAAAAAGGAGGGGGGTGAGGTTCTAAGCCTCACCTCTGTTGACCCCCAATTTCTCACCTGATGGCCCCTCTGCGACTGTGCCTGTCTTAGGTTGTCCCTCCCTTGAGGAATCTTACCCGTCTCTGGCTAACCAGCCATCTTCCGGGGCCATACAGGGAGATGTAAAGTTGGTGAGAGAAGCAATATTCTTTAAAAAAGTTAGCTTTTTACTTCTTTCTAGATTTATGCCCCATGGGTCCTATGCCCAGCACTTGTCTTGAGGTATCCTGACCAGCTGGAAGGATTATGATACATGATAATTTTAAATATGAGGCATGAATTCTAGTAAAGGGCTGTATTTAGGAAGGAAAAAGAAAAGCTATAGAAGCAGCAAAGGAAGAAAATTTGAGATTATTTCTTTGACATAACTTCTGGTAGAGTAACATAAGCATGTATAGGTTTTCACAAATTACTAACTAAATTATGTACACACATTAACAGAACAGGAATACAGATACATATAACAAATGCAGACCTACAATTACCGGCCATATCCAATGAAACCAAGAAAACCAGTTAGGTAACCCAGGCATTTGTGAAAACTTATTAATAATATGATGAATATTGTCTAATTGATTTTGAATAGTTTGAGAAAAATCAGACAAATTAAAACAACACATTCCTGGAAACTGTTCACATAACATATGTTCTTTTAACAGCACGATTCTGAAGCAACTTGCACTTCTCCTGGCTCTTGATTGAGTTCGGACAATATAGAAGCAGTCAAATTTGTTATCTTACTATATGCACAACCAGCTTAGATGTCTCTTTTTGCATTCCACCGACTAGTCCAGGAACTGGCAGGATGAATGCCGCTGCAACTGCAACAGAGGTGGGACCTAAAAGTTTCAAGTTGTCGTCACAATCAGACGGCAGAGCTTGGAGAAATCTTTTATGACTATTTCCGGGATAATCCATTAGAGTAGGAAGGATGCATCCCACGCCACACATACTTTGATAATGTGAGGAGAGGGCTTAGGGTGTGGACTTGTACCACCTGCCCGACCCCTAAGGTGGGCTGGGTTGTGTCTGTTTGCTAGGGTTGTTTACAGTGAGGTCACGGGTTATGCTGAGCTACCCTTCTTTATTTGCGGAACACTCAAACATTCCAGGCCAAGTTTCTCCTGGCCTTTTGAGCTTTAACTGATCTCACTGAAAAATGACTCTAGAGCTTAATGTTTAACACAGAGTTTTGGTAGGGGGTTTCCTTGCATGTAGTTATTACAATTGCTCTGACTGCAAATATCCTGCCTTGCTTTTTCCGGAGGCCCTCACCTTATTCTGTCTAAGCTCACGGTCCCTCTCTCATTCCCCCCTCTACAGATAGAGACCCTAGCTGCTGCTAGGGAAAAGGGGCCACGACTGCTCTGGTTGCTTCATGCTGAGAGGGGGCGCAGTAAGGGGTGCAGTTAGGTCTCCATAAATGGTCAGTTGAGAGGGCCTCGGAAGATTGGCGCTTCTATTCCGGGTTCCATTTCTATTACTATTTGCAGTTTTATGGCTTCTAGGCAAGATAGAACAAATTGTGTTATTAGGTTAAGTAGCAACATCAGGAGTTGGATTTTCTTTTTTGGAGCAACTTGACAAGATTAAGAATGCATGGCTGAATATGAGAACTAGAAATAGTAAAACTTTAATTGAAATGATGGGAGAAAACTAAAACATCTGGAGAATCACAGCTAGATATTTTGGGGAAACTAGAATTCCGGATCTAGTCTACGTCTCAATGACTAGTATTAGGATTTAGTACAGATAAGACTGCATTATTGAAACAATACTTTTCTCTAAAATCACCCTCATTTTTATTAGAAGTAACTAGATTAAGAAAATAATTAACACTTGGCTTGACTATTTGCGTAAGTGCATCAAGAAGACCAACTGATTACACAGGATCCTTTAAATGTGCTTTGAAGGAACTTTTTATAAGGAATTTCAGATTGGACATTTAAAGGCCTCTGGAGGCTAGAAAGCCAAGCCAGACTTGCCTTCAGGTTTTGCCTGCAGTACCTGTAGATTTGGGTGAATTCTTCTCTTCCCGAGGTCCCCAAGACATCTTGAGGTTTTTGAACTTGCCAGGAAGTGACCTTCCTTACTCACCTGGTAAGGCTGCTGGGAACCCTGTAAGCAAGGTACCAGGCCAGTTCTTCGAAGGGGCTTTGTTGGCTCTATAAAGTCAACCTTAGTTCCTTAAAGCTGTTCATATCTGAGTTTATGCACGTGTCTCTCAGGTATGTCATTCCAGTCAAAGCCTTGGTAATATAACCTGTGTTTTTAATTGGTCCTCTTACAAGGAAAGCAGATTCTTAATGAACTTATGCAAATAAACATACTGCCATGAAATATGAAAACAGTCACTGAGAGTTTTTAAATTCTGGAGGGATTAGGTAGAAAGATAAATGTTCCAATTCTGCCTATAAAGATGTCATTTACTAAATTGTTGTCAGTTTAAGAGAAAAAGCTTAAAACACCATATCAGCAACATTTGAAACAAAAAGTCACAAGATCATTTTCCTTAGTTTATTTAATCCTATGTAACCAATACCTTTCTGAAATCTAGTTTGTTACTAGTTTAGGAGTAATAAAACAGTTACTATAAATGACAAAAGACCTACAAATGACAATGGTGAAAGAGCTGATGAGAGCTTACTATAAGACAGTTGACATAAGAAAATTTGGATATTTCTGTAACACAAAACATTCAGTAACAAAGTTTAGCATCATTCCTTTTGACAGTGCTTTCCAGGTAAATATATATCAGATAAATAAGACAAATTTGCCAAATATTTTCCACGATGAGGAGAAAAAATTCCTCTGATGTGTTCCAGGGCCCCGCTAGAAAGTATCAGAATTAACTAGAGGTAAAAGCACCTTTTTTAATTTGATTTTGGAAAGTTGTCAGAAGAAAGTTTCTTTGGCACTTGCTTAAATAAGATCATAGGTTGGCATGAAGCAATACTTATCCATTTAACTAGAATGACAACAAAATACTTCAAAGGCAGATACAGAAGGGTACACAGCTGTTAGCAAAGTCTAGCTTTTAGTCCTTTTAATATTAAGATGTCATTTTCTTAAATACTTGGGCAATTCATTGAGACTTTAAGCATGAGAAACAGCTTTGATAAAATAATTGGAAAATTTTCTGCAATTTTTCAACATTAAGAGCAGACTAACAGTTTGAGAAAACTTGTTCTTTTCACTGAAAACAAAATTCTAATTTGCTGTTAATGTTGAAACTGTTTATCTGTTTTAATATTAACAGGTTAACTGTTAGTCTGCTCTTAAACTGTTAGTCTGCTCTTAATGTTGAAAAATCAAAAGTTTTCTAATTCTTCCACAAAGTTTCTACAGTTTTTTTTTACATTTAGAGTGCTTTCTCTTTAAATAAACAGCTGTACTTTAGAACAATTACTTTCTTTTACCCTCAACAAAACAAATTTCCATTCCTTATACTTTCTCTTATTAAAACACACATCTTCATTTTTTTTCTCAAGAGGCGGCATGAGTAGAGCGGCGGAAATCTCCTCCTGAAACCATATATATTTTGAAAATACAGCAAATACAAAGGTGGGGGAATGACAGCCTCTTCAACAGCTGGTGTTGGCTAAACTTGGACAGCTACATGTAAGAGAATGAAACTGGATCATTGTCTAACCCCACACACACAAGTACACTTGAAATGGATCAAAGACCTGAATGTAAGTCATGAAACTATAATACTCTTAGAAAAAAACATAGACAAAAATCTCTTGGACATAAACATGAGCAACTTCTTCATGAACATATCTCCCTGGGCAAGGGAAACAAAAGCAAAAATGAACAAGTGGGACTATATCAAGCAGAAAAGCTTCTTCTGTACAGCAAAGGACACCATCAATAGAACAAAAAGGTATCCTACAGTATGCGAGAATATATTCATAAATGACAGATCTGATAAGGGATTGACATCCAAATTATATACAGAGCTCACGCACCACAACAAACAAAAATGAAATAATCCAGTTAAAAATTGGGCAGAGTATCTGAACAGACACTTCTCCAAAGAAGAAATTCAGATGGTCAGCAGGCACATGAAAAGATGCTCCACGTCGCTAATTATCAGGGAAATTCAAATTAAAACCACAATGAGGTATCACCTCATGCCAGTTAGGATGGTCAACATCCAAAAGACTAGGAACAACAAATGCTGGCGAGGATGCGAAGAAAAGGGAACCCTCCTACACTGCTGGTGGGGATGTCAACTAGTTCAACCATTGTGGAAAGCAGTATGGAGGTTCCTCAAAAAACTAAAAATCGAAATACTATTTGACCCGGGAATTCCACTCCTAGGAATCTGCCCAAAGAAAACAACTTCTGAGATTCAAAAAGACATGTGCACCCCTATGTTTACTGCAGCACTATTTACAAGAGCGAGATATGGAAGCAACCCAAGTTTCCATCAGTAGATGAATGAATAAAGAAGAGGTGGTACATATACAGAATGTAATACTATCCAGCCATAAGAAACAAATCCTATCATTTGCAACAACATGCATGGAGCTGGAGGGTATGATGCTCAGTGAAATAAGCCAGGCAGAGACAGACAAGTACCGAATGATTTCCCTCATTTGTGAAGTATAACAACAAAGAAAAAATGAAGGAACAAAGCAGCAGCAGACTCACAGAAACCCCCGCCTGGCGGCCACGTCCCAGTAAACCCACCAGCCCGCACCTCAGGGGACTCCTGCGCACCACCGGCCCGCTCCTCAGGGGGACCCCGCGCCCGCGCCCCGTCCTACCTTGAACCAGCGCCTGGAGCAGGTGCAGCTGGAGCGTCAGGGGCGGCCGCCAAGCGCGCCGCCAGCCTGCGCTCAACTTTGGAGTCGGCAGCCCTCCGCGCAGCCCCGCGTCCTGGCCGGGGCTCTCGGGAGCCGCGCGGGCTCCGCGGTGCAGACGCCGCTGCCGCCACAGCTCGGGGCAGCGCAGGGCGCGGGCCACACTGAGGGGCCGCCCCCGCCTGCCCCCGCCCTGGGGCCCTCACGCTCTCGCAGAGCGGCCCATTAACGGGAGGCGGCGGGTCTTGAGGGGCACGGTGGCGGCGGTGAGATTGTCAGCACGGAAATGCCCGTCAGACCGCCTTCAGCGGCCCCGCAGCCAGAGCGCCCGGGCAGCGCCGCGGCTCCCGAGGAGTCCGGCTGGAGCTGAGGAGGGCGGCCCCACAGGCGCCCGCCGCGGCCGCTGATTGGCAGAAGGGAGGGGGCTCGTGGGCCCCGCCCCCACCCCGTGGGCCCCGCCCCCACCCCTCGCCGGTTTTCTAACTCGCCTACCTGCTGGCTTGGAACTTCTCACAGACCTGCGAGCCCAGGCGGCTTCCCGCACCGCCTCGCCCCCCTAGGGACGTGCAGCAGGCCCTGCAGGTACTGCTGCCCTTGACCCTTTGGTAACCACAAATCCAAAGCCTGCAATGGCAGTAAGTCCATATCTATCGATAATCACCCTAAATGTAAATGGACTGAATGCACCAATTAAAAGACACACAGTTACAGAGTGGATAAAAAAGCAAGACCCATCTATATGCTGCCTACAAGAGCCTCACTTCAAACCCAAAGACATACACAGACTAAAAGTGAAGGGATGGAAAAAGATATTTCATGCAAACAATAGTGAGAAAAAATCAGGTATTGCAGTACCTGTATCAGACAAAGTAGACTTCAAAACAAAGAAAGTAACAAGAGATGAAGGACATGACATAATGATAAAGGGGTCAGTCCAACAAGAGGATATAACCATTATAAATATCTATGCACCCAACACAGGAGTACCTACATATGTGAAACAAATACTAACAGAATTAAAGGGGGAAATAGAATGCAATGCATTCATTTTAGTAGACTTCAACACACCACTCAAATGGCAGATCAACCAGACAGAAAATAAGTAAGGACACAGAGGCACTGAACGACATGCATCTAACACACATCTACAGAACTCTACACTCAAAACTGCAGGATACACATTCTTCTCAAGTGCACATGGAACATTGTCAAGAATACATCATATACTAGGCAAAAAAAAGGGCCTCAGTAAATTCAAAAAGATTGAAATTGTACCAGCCACCTCCTCAGACCACAAAGGTACAAAACAAGAAATAAATTATGCAAAGAAAACTAAAAAGCCCACAAACACATGGAGACTTAACAACATGCTCCTAAACAACCAATGGTTCAATGACCAAATAAAAACAGGGAACAAGCAATATACGGAGACAAATGACAACAATATTTCAACAACACACAATCTGTGGAATGCAGCGAAGGCCGTGCTAAGAGGGAAGTATATTGCAATACAGGCCTACCTCAGGAAAAAACAACAATCCCATATGAACAGCCTAAACTCACATTTAATGAAACTAAAAAAGAAGAAATATTGAGGCCCAAAGTCAGAAGAAGGTGGAGCATAATAAAGATTAGAGCAGAAAAAAATAAACTCGAGAAAAAAAAACCAATACAAAGTAATCAATGAAAGCAGGACCTGGTTCTTCAAGAAAACAAAATAAATAAACCCCTTGCCAGACTTCTCAAGAAAAAAAGAGTCTACACAAATAAAATCAGAAATAAGAAATGAAAAATCACTACTGATGCCACAGAAAAAAAAATTATTAGAGAATACTATGAAAAATTATATGCTAACAAACTGCATATCCTAGAAGAAACAGACAACTTTCTAGAAAAATACAGCCTAGCAATGCTGACCCAGGGAGAAACAAAATCTGAACAGACCAATTACCAGCTATGAAATTGAATTCATGATCAACACACTACGTAAGAACAAAACTCCTGGACCACATGGCTTCACTGCTGAATTTAAATATAATTAACATATAGCATTGTATTAGTTTTAGGTGTATAACATAATGATTTGATATATATATACACTGTGAAATGATCACATCTAGTTAACATCCATCACCACACATAATTATAATTTTTTTTCTTGTGATGAGAACTTTTAAGATGTTCTCTCTTAGCAACTGTCAAACACTGTTTTGCATTACTGTTACCTATAGTCACCAAGCTGCACACTACATCCCTAGGACTTATAACTGGAAGTTTTGTACCTTTTGATCACCTTCATCCTCTTTGCCGGTAACCACTGGTAATCACTAATCTGTTTTCTACATCTATTAGTTGTTTTTTTTTTAAGATTCCACGTATAAGTGAGTTCATATAGTATTTGTCTTTCTCTTTCTGATTTATTTCATTTGGCATAAAGTCCTCCAGGTCCATCCATGTTGTCACAAATTGCAGGATTTCCTCCCTTTTTTTGGGTGAAAAACATTCTATTATACATCTATACCATAATTTCCTTATACATTCATCCATCAATGGACACTTAGCTTGTTTTCATGTCTTGGCTACTGTAAATAATGCTTCTGTGAACATTGTCAGTGGAGAGATCTCTGCAACACACTGTTTTTGTTTCCTTCACATATATTCCCAGAAATGGAATTGCTAGGTTATATGGTAGATATATTTTTAATTTTTTGAGGAAACTTCATACTGTTTTCCATTGTGGCTGTACAATTTACAATCCCACCAGCAGTGCACAAACGTTACCTTTTCTTCATCCATGCCAACACTTGTTACCTCTTGTCTTTTTATGATGGCCATTCTAACAGGCCTGAGGTGATATCTCAACCTGGTTTTGATTTTCGTTTCCCTGATGATTGGTGATGTAGAACATCTTTTCATGCTCCTGTTGGCCATCTGTATGTCTTCTTTGGAAAAATGTCTATCAGGTCCTTTGCGCATTTTTAAATTGGATTATGTAGCTTTTGGTGCTATTAAGTTGTGTGAGTTCTTTATACATTTTGGAAATTGGTCCCTTATCAGATATATGGTTTGCAAACATTTTTTCCCCATTTGTAGGTTATCATTTCATTTTGTTGATGGTTTCTTTCATTGGGTAGAAGCTGTTCAGTTTGATGTAGTTCCACTTATTTTTTATTTTGCTGCCTGTGCTTTAGATGTACTATGCAAAAAAAATCACTACCAAGACCCATATCAAGGAGCTTTTTCTGTATGTTTTCTTCTGGTTGTATGGCTTCAGATTCTACATGTATATCTGTAACCATTTGAGTTAATTTTTGTGAGTGATGTAAGATAGGGGTCTAGTTTCATTCTTTTATGTGTGAATAGCCAGTTTTCCCAGCACCAGTTTCTCATTTTATATTCATGTCTCTTGTGTCAAATATTAGTTAACTATATGTGTATGGATTTATTTCTGGGCTCTCAATTCTGTTCCACTGGTGTATGTGTCTGTTTTTATGCTGGTACCACACTGTTTTGATTACTATAGCTTTATAACATAGCTTAAAACCAACATAGTTTGATGTCCCCTGATTTGTTCTTCTTTCTCCAAATTGTTTTGGCTATTTGAGATCTTTTAATATTCCATGCAAATTTGAGGATTGTTTTTTCTACTTCCATAAAAAATGCCATTGGACTCTTGATCAGTCCTGCATTGAATCCATAGAGGACTTTAAGCAGCACGTACATTTTCATGTACCACTTGTATAACTTTTTTTGAAAAACATCTATTCAGATCCTCTGCCCACTTTTCAAGTGCATTATTTTTTTTTTTTTTGCTTTTTCTTTTGAGTTTTATGAGTTCTTTATATAGTTTAGGTATTAACCCTTCATCAGATATATGATTTGTAAATATTTTCATCCATCCCATAGGTTCCCTTTTCATTTTGTTGATAGTTTCCTTTGCTGTATACCCCCCCATGTTTAACAACCAGAGGGGGGAAAAACAGCAGAATATATGAAAAAAATGATGTTTAAACATTGGCCATCAGGACAGCAAACCCTGAAAAACTGAAAATAGTTAGGTAAGCTTTATATTTGAAAAACAAAACAGTTAGGTAAGCTCCAGTGTGTTGTCTACAGGATTTCCAGGCTGCAGGTGGGAGGAACCCAGACTGAGCCTCGTTGTCTCCGTGTGGTGAGAAGGCAGACAGGGGAGTCCATGTAAGAAGCCAAGACAGCTAGTTTGTAAGACAGCACACAGGATAATGAGAGAGTGCTGGGATCTTCAGAGGGTTCTCTGGCAGTGGACTGAAGAGCACATGTGTGAAGAAACTTGCTGAGGCAGGAAAAGGAGCAAAGTGAACCATCTCTGGAGCCCACACAGCAATGGAAATAATGCCTGTTCCCTCTAGCCAATGTGGAAAACCTCATAATTCAGGGGGCATGGGGGTAAATTATGCTGAAGAGTTTTGCCTCAGTGGTGGGGAAAAATTATCTCTAGAGTACAGGCTGCTCAGGTCCCACCTAATAAAGCTTAAAAAGTAAAGCTTGAAAGCAATAAACTGTTTCTAAGTAAATTAGTTGCATTCTAGAACAAAGCCCAAGAATACTGAAATACAAAAATATACAGGACCCAAGAAGGTAAAATTCACAGTATTTGGCATCCAATGATAAATTACAGTATGGAAAGGAGCATAAAAATATGACTGATAGAAGAAAAATCAGTTGAAAATGGTCCAGAAATTATTCAGGTAATAAAACTAGTAGACAAGTACATTGAAAGAGTTATTATAACTATTTCATATGTTTAAGAAATTAGAAGAAAACTTGAATATGGAAGATTTTTTAAAGACCCAGATTGAAATTCTAGAGATGTAAACTACAATAAAAAATACATCAGATGGATTAATATCTGATTAGATGCTACAAAAGATAAGATTAATGAACTTGAAAACATAGCATCAGAAATTAGCCCTAATGAAAGACAGTGAGAATAAAGGACAGAAAAAAATGAACAAAGCATCAGTGAGTTGAGGGACAACAACCTAACATACAGTTAATAATAATATAATTAGCAGTCTAATACACAGGATAATTGGAGTCCCTGAAGGAAAAGAAGGAGAGGGCAAAAAAATTTTTGAGAAAATAATTGCCAAAATATTTCCAAACTTAATGAAAACTACAAACCTACAAATACGAGAAACAACAAACCCCAAGCACAAGAAATGAGTAAAAACTACACCAAGGCAATAGTCCCTTTTTGGAGTCTGTTTAAGCAGCAGAAACTTATTTTCTCATAGTTCTAGAAGCTACAAGTCCAAAATCAAAGTTCCAGCTGATTTGATTTCAGAACTAGAACAAAGAGCCCTACAATGCATATGGAAACACAAAAGACACTGAATAGCCAATAGCCAAAACAATCTTTAGAATGAAGAACAAAGTTGGAGGTATCACACTCCCTGTTTTCAAACTATAACACAAAGCTATAGCAATCAAAATAGAATGGTACTGGCAAAAAACAAAAACAAAAACAAAAAAAACAGACACAGATTAGTGGAATAAAATAGAGAGCCCAGAAGACCATATACATATGGTCAATTAATCTATGACAAAAGAGGCAAGAATGTGGAGAAGACAATATCTTTAATAAACGGTGCTGGGAAAACTGGAGAGCTGCATGCAAAATAATGAAACTGGACTACTATCTTACACCATATACAAAAATTAATTCAAAAAGTATTAAAGACTTGAATGTAAGACCTAAAACCATACAACTCCTAGAAGAAACATAGGTGATAAGTTCTTTGACATCAATCTGAGCAATATGTTTTTCTACCAATGTCCTCAGGCAAGGGAAACAAAACTAAAGAGGGGTTACATCAAACAAAAATGTATTTGCACACTGAAGGAAACCAATAATAAAATTAAAAGGAAGTCTACTCAGTGGGAGAGGATATTTGCAAATTATACATCCAATTAGAGGTAATATACAAAATATATAAAGAACTTAAACAATATTTTTAAAAATGTTCAAAAAAATGGGCAGAGGACTTGAATAGACTTTTTCCAATGATAACATATAGATGGCCTACAGGCAAATGAAAAGATATTCAGCATCACTAATCTTCATGAACATGCAAATCAAAACCACAATGAGATATCACCTCACACAGGGCAGATTGATTATTACCAAAAAGACAAAAAATAAGAATTGGTGCCCCATGTTCATGCAGCATTATTTATAATAGCCAAGATATGGAAGCAGCATGTTCATCAATACTGAATGATGAATAAAGAAAATGTGTGTATATGTACATGTACATACACACACACAAACACAGATACACAAAATGGAATATTACTTAGTCATAAAAAGGAAGGAAATCTTGCCATTTGCAACAACATGGATGAGCTTAGAGGGTATTATTCTAAGTATGTCAGACAGAGAAAGACCAATACCTTATGATTTCACTTATTTGTGGAATATCTAAAGCTAAGCAAAACAAAACATAAACAGACTTACAGAGAGAGGAAACAAATTGTTGGATTCTAAGGGGGGAGGTGTTAGGGGTAGGTGAAACAGGTGAAGGGGATTAGGAAGCACAAACTTCCAGTTATAAAGTAAATAAGTCATGTAGACAGCATAGGGAATATAGTCAATAACACTGTCATAACTTTGTATGGTAACAGATGGTAACTAGACTTACTGTGGGGATAATTCTGTAATGTGTGAAAGTATGAAATCACTATGATGTACACCTAAAACTAATAGGATACTGTATGTCAGTTATACTTCAATTTAAAAAAGATTTGTACCCAAGGGGTGAAATTTAATATAAAAACTACTTTATTGCTTCATTAAAGACTTAAGTGAAACTGTGAAAAAAAAATACTACACCAAGGCACATCATAATCAAATGGCTTAAAATCAGTGATAAAATCTTAAAGTAGCCAGAGGAATAAAAGACATTACATAGAAACAAAGATGAGGATAATTGCACATTTCTCATCAGAAACAATAGAATCTAGAAGACAGCAGAGCATCATTTTTAAAGTATTGAAAAAATTGTCAGCCTAGAATTCTAACCCAGTACTCCTATCAGATTGGCTTATGTCTGCTCAAAATTCTTCAGTGATTTCCTGTCTAAACGTCTGATCCCCCAAACACTGACTGAGACAGAGATTATATGTAGTAGGTTTATTGGGAAGTGCTCTGAGGATCAGTATCTGTGGAGAAGTGCAGGAAGAAGGACTGGGCAAGGGAAGCTGAGCTCTGAGGCAATCTCAATAGAAGCCTCAACGGACCCTATTAGGAGTTTGAAAATGGGATGTCCCTTCAGAGCTGTTCAGAGCTGTCCAGAGCTGGGGTGTGCGGCAAGGCGTTTGCTCTCATAGGCTGATCATTGATTGGATATGCAAAGCCCCAGGAAGGGTGCATGATCTTGGGTGAGGCAGCTCCCTTGGCCAAAGGCAGTTACCAGAGGGGGAGTAAGCTGAGAACAGTCAGCCTTCAGCACCCCAGCAGCTGGGGGAATGAGTACAGAGATTCTGAATGGAGAACTGAAACGCTGACTGCATTACCCACTGCACTTCCAAAAAGTTTAGTGGAGAAAAAACAATCTTCCGAGCAGGGGGCACTTGGGGCCCTTCAAGGTTTTGCACATACCCACCCCCAGCTCACCTCAGGCTGTCATCTCAGCCTCGAAGTCTCTCCCACCCTCTGCCCTGCCTGTATGTATTAGTTGGACAACTTTAAAGCCTTCAAATTACAGTTGAACACACCTCCTCTGACTACTCTTCCAGACTCAATAATCCTTCCGTCTGCACAGCGGTTAGCAACATAGACTGTGGAACAAGGGTTTGAATTCCAGCTCCTCCAATTGCTAGCTGGGCAACCTAAGGCAAATTACTCAACCTCTCTGTATCTTAGTTTCCTCATCTGTAAAATGGTCATAACACTAGTACCACTCCCTCATAGGCTTGTTCTGAGGATTGAATGAGTTAATGTATCTAAGGTTAGAACAGTGTCTGGCAGGAGTAAACAGTTGCTGTTACTATTATTGCTGTTGTTATTGAAGGTGCTCAGTATGCATTTATTGAAGGCATGAAGGATGAGGAAGAACCTGAAAGAGACAAAGTGCAAAACATGTTCAAGGAATGTTGAATAATTGAATCAGAAGTGCAGTAATAGCCTCCATCTGGTATTATTGGGAAGAATTTTTGGGAAGAATATGTTGGGAAGAATTTTTAATGTCATAGTAAAGAGTGTGCCTCTTATTTGGTAAGCAATAAGAAACCATGACAGAGTCAACAGATGGGAAAAAGAGCCAAAGAAAGAGGTATTGGTGAGCTAGGAGGTAAGGAATATGTGTGATGAGGGTGAGAGTTATAGGTGAGGGAAGTGTTGGATGAAATGGATTGTGGGGACTACGGAGGATGAGAACAGATGAGGGAAAGTGAGTTTAGAGGAAAGTCGTGTGGACCTAGGGAGGATACAGTGGGGGAAACAATTAGACTGATGGGGACAGGCAACGCATGATAGGGACATGCTGGGAGTAGAGAAGATGAAGGGTGATGGAGGCAGATGAGATTTATGGCGGTCAAGTGAGTGGCAGAACCAGCGAGGAGGACCTAAGAGTTGGAGCAGGACCATCTGAGAGAGATGGGCGGGTGGGGGGGGGGGGGGGGGGGGGGGGGGGAACCCTAGGGCCGCAGGAGCGGAGAGCGGAGTAGAGCAGAACGATGTCAGAGAAAGGGCCGTGATGTAAGAGCCGAGGCGGCGGGGAGGTGATGTCAGGGCTGGTGCTGATGCTGGCGGCGCAGTGCATTGTGGGCAGCTCCCCGCTCCGCCGCTGCCGCCGCTGTCGCCCGAGGAAGATCGGGGCCGGGCCGGGCCGGGCCGGGATGGTCCCGGTCGGGAGGCCACCGCCGCCGCCGCCGGAGGAAGCGGGCAGTCCAGCGCCGCACTGAGCCGCCCCCGCCCCCGCCCCGCCCCGGCCCCGGGGGATGCGCCGCCCCGAGCCGCTGCCTCTGCCGCCGCAGCCGCAGCCGCAGCGGGCACAGAGCAGGTAAGGCGGGGCGGGGCCGGCCGGCCGGCGGGCGGGGTCGGGAGGGGCTCCTGCAGCTCGGCGGGCCTTGGGCCTGGGTCACCCCAGGCGCAGCCTTCTCCAGCTCCCTCCCTGGGCCATCTCCGCCAGAGCTGGGACGCTGGCCTACACAGCCTGGGCCTCATCCCGAGGCCCCGAACGGCTCCCTGCCCCCTCCTCCCGGACAGACCCACCCTCTCCGCCTGTCCTCCGGGGGTTTTGCTCCTCACTTCTCACCTCTGTCCCTTGACCCCATGGCTTCAGTCTCCTGTCACCCCTCACAAGTCGTTCCCTGTTGTCTCCATAACCTCTCTCCCCTGTTCTCAGTCCCTCCATTCCTCCCGCTAACCCCCTTCCATACTTCTTCACCCCTTCAACCCTGCCCAGAAACCCCTTTCACGGTTGCGGGGCTTCTTCACGTGTCACCATGGTCTCTCATCTGTCTCTATCTTGCCCAACCCCCTCTTCTGATCCTGTTACCCCTCATCCCTTCCATTCTCCTCTGTCCCCCTCCACACCTCTTTTCACCTGTTCCCCATTACCCTCACTGGTCTCCCTCACCTCTCTGTACCTGGGCTCCCAGGTTCACACACACACCTCGCTCACACCTTGCATAGTTACACATCAGCACCTATATTCACATCCCAAGATGGGTTCCCACCCACTTGGGTATACCTCCCTCTCTCTCTCACACACACACACACATACACACACACCATGGGCCCCACACTATCATATATGCACATTCTGACAGATTCTCATAAGAACCACCTCCACAAACCCTCTCTCACTACACACCCATGCCTCCACACACCTACAGGGTCCTAAGGGTGCAGTGATGGGGCAGCCAAGTGCCTGTGTTTGTGTTGTCCAACCATATCGTCTGAGCTGAGTGTAGCACAGAGTGTGGGAAGCGTGGTGGGTAGGGAGAAGCTCATCCTCCTGTTGCCACTGTCTTCTTTCCCACCTCACCTGTTCCTTCTAGGCTTGCCCATCTATAAAATGGGAGCAGAACCCAAATTTTCCTCATCAACCTGTAAAATCCACCATCACAGGACACCAATACAGGGCCCACCCAAGGTCACGAGTTAACTCCTGAAGACTCCCTCTCTACCTGTTCAATTGCCTCTTCAGTCCTGTCCTCAACCTGTGTCCTCCATGTTTATTCCAGAAACCCCCATCCCTACCTCTCCCTTCATCCGGACATTCCCCTCACTGCTCTCTGAATTCCTGATGCCCCTATGCCACTTTGGCAGAAGAGGAGCAGAGCCCTATTTGATGTTACTGCAGTTCTGATACTCTGAAGTTGTGTGGATTGGAGGAAAGTCAGCTGAGTCATTTGAAGAAAGAAAGAGTGGCAGTATCCCTTCTCATGAAGATCCCTTACAGCCATCATGACTTGTTAAAGGTTGTCTCCACACCTTTACCATCCCACATTGCCCCTGTATCAGTCTGGCTAGACACAGGAGCCCTGGGGAATTATCTGTCCTGAGGAAAGACAGGTTTATGGAGTTCCCACCTCATCCATAGACATCTTAGGCATTTTCCTCCTCTCCATCTTCCCCCCATCCCCAGCCTGAGTACCTTCCTTCCGTCTGTGACTCTCCAGAGTCACTGTGAGGGCAAGGCAGTGTGCTTGTGAAAAACATAGGGGAGGGAAGAGAAGAAAAGGTTCTGGTTCCAATCCTGTACTGGGTTGGCAGAGATCTCGAAGAGTGCCCCTGCCTACATACACACACATCACACAAACACAAACACCACACAAGCACACATATATACAGACACAAAGACACACACACACACACACACAGACCCTTAGACACAGACGCACAGAAAAGACACACAGAGGCATATACACATTCACACAGAGGGTTACATGCGCTGATACCCAGACACATCCATGTGCACACACTTGCATTTCCCTAGGTAACACTAGCTGGTTTCCCCCACCTCTGTCCTTCAGAGCTGGGACACAGCTCTTGATATCCAACTGCTGCCTATCCCAGTGCAACAAGAGCTCTGTTCCCTCTTGTTCATTCTTGTGCAGATGCAGAAAGGTGTGGTCAGAGGCTCTCTAACCCCATGCCCACCTGGACCTGCTGCCCCCTGTCACTCCCCCTGCCTTCTATTAGGTCACTCCTACTTTCTCTGCCTGCCCCAGCTCCTCCCAGTTCAGCCTGTCTCTCTCCCTCAGAGGGCTGCAGTCCCTCTAAAATGCATGTCTTGAGTCCATGGCCTTATGTTCAGCCCACCCCTCACATCCTTGCTCCTGATCCCATGGCTGGGCAGAGGGGCTGGCTCAGCCCCGGAATGGTGTGTGCCTCTCAGCAGCCGCATCCTCCTCATTTAGCACCACCCTCAAGGGGCTTTTGTGTATCCCCACTTCTTCTTGATTATCACATCTCCTGTGGTTGATTAACAGGTCTCTGTCACCCTGCTGTGTGTCTCATATAGGTCACCGCTTGGTCAGCCGTTGCCCCCCACTTTCAATAAGTCTCAGATGTACAGCTCCAAGGGCATTTTGTGGCACAGGGGAAGTGTAGGTGCTGGGGGCCACAGATTGAGTCACTCTGATTGGACCTCCTTGGCCCAGGTCTCCCCTACACAAGCATGGGTCCTACACTACTACGCCCTCTCGGTTAGCAAGGCTCCCGCTCTCGTTAGCTTGTCTCTTTGGGAACCACTTTCCCCACAGCCTGTTCACACATCATTTTCACCTCCGTTTTCATCAACCCGTGTGTCCTCTTGCTGGTTTTCGCATCCCCAGCTTGTAGTTTGTATCTCCCTTCCTGTGGATAGTATTCTGCCTTCTGCTCTGACCTCCCCTCTAATAAGTCTTGGAGCCTCTGCCCAGTGGGCCCAGGAAGGATGCCCGCCAGGAGAATGGAGATCCCCTCCTCCATAGCTGCAAGGTGGTCCTGGGCCAGTAGACTGTCTGGCTCACAGCCCCTCGCCACTCCCCCAGGTAGATGGACCCCCCAGGGCAGGCCCTGCGGACACCCCCCCTCCAGCTGGCGGATGCAGTGCCTAGCGGCAGCTCTTAAAGACGAAACCAACATGAGTGGGGGAGGGGAGCAGGCCGACATCCTGCCGGCCAACTACGTGGTCAAGGATCGCTGGAAGGTGGTGAGTGAGTGACCCGGTAGGGCAGAGGGAGGGGTGGGGGGAGGAGAGGTCCTGGAGACTTGTTAAAACAGGTGCCCTCAGCATCCTAACCCTAAAGGTGTCCCTGAGCGCCTTTGCATACTGCTTGCAGGTAATTTTTTTTGCCTACACTTGTGGACAGTCGCTTTCTCCCAGTGCCCTCTCTCCAACCCCGCCCTTTCTCACCCCTTTCCCCGCTAGGTCACGCTGGTCAAGCCCAGAACAATCAGAACAACTCCTGGTTGGATGTGGGAGCAGGAGCTGCAGAGCTCAGTTCGGGGGAGGGGCGGGGGGAAGGGCCCTGACTCTGCCGGACGTTGGAGAAGGGCAGTGAGTGAGCGTGTGTGTCTCCACTTCCGCAGAGGACAGAAAGGCCTGGGTTAGGGGAAAGAGGCCCTGCAGGCTGCTCCCACCGCATCCTCGCTCCATCTTCTCCATCCATCCTCCGCCCCTCACTGGTTCCTGCGGCAGGTGCAACACGCTGAGACTCCATCTCCCAGCGTGCCTTGCTCCCTCAGCCCAGGACCTCAGGCTGCTCAGCCTACTGGGGGCTGTAGTCCCAGCCTCCTGGAGGTTAATGGTCTAGACGGGAGGGGGACACCTGAGGGTTGGGGAAGGGCAGTGTCTGGGGAGCGGGACCTACTGTAATTCAATCCTTGTCCCACCCCGCCCCCTCTTTCCTTCCCTTTGAAGAGCGCTCTAGTGCCCTCCTGTCGTTGTGGAGGCAGGATGGCGTGGGGCTGACTGCGGGATGACAGTGTGTGAGCCTGTGGGTGTGCACGGCTGCGGAGCCAGGGGGAAGGGAGGGGGAGCAGCACAGGTCAAGTCTCCGCTGAGCCTGTGGGGCGGAGTGCGGGGGCGGCGGGGATGGCTCAGCTCACCAGGGGTGCGGGGTGGAGAGGAGAACCGTGGCGGCAAACACACAGCAGGCAGGTCCCCTGGAGGCCAGGCTTAGGGGCGAAGGTAGCAGCCTCATCAGAGATGTCTCTGGGACCCGGCGCGCTGAGCGGCTGCAGAGCTGAGGGAAGGGGCTGTCTGTCCCAGAGGGGGACTCGCTGAGAAGAGTAACGGGACAGAACTGGAGGAGGAGGAGCCAGGGCAGTAATCAAAGGAATGGGGGCTTGGCCGAGGGAGGCGAGTTCCTCCAAGACTCTCGGGTCCCCTGGCACCAAAGCTGAGTTTCTGGCATATTGGAGGAGAGGAACGTTTGCACTGAAGAGGTGAGAAAATGATGGTGTTTACACACTGCATTTAGGTTAGAACTTTCCTGTGCTTTTTTTGAGGGAGGAGAAGGAAGATGTATGGGGAGAGAAATGACAGGTGGAGCAAGCATGCAGTCTTCGGCAGGCTGACCTCTCTGCACACTCACTCCTCCCTGGCTCCTCGAGCACTGGGGAGGTGGGGTGCTGGATGCCTCCCCTCAGCCATCTCCCCGTGAGGGATGGGGCGGAGACAGGAGGCAGAGCTCAAGAACCAAGAACAAGCTGCCCAGAGGCGGGCTGTGGCCAGGAGAAAATGAGAATCAGTGGCACTAGCTGGAGTATTTAAAACTAATAACATTTTATTTTTCTTGAGGAGTGCTTCTCAAAATCAGAATAGCAAACAACAACAATAATAACTTAGCATTTGTTTTGAGCGCTTACTGTTGCCAAATGCTGTGCAAAATGTTTATATGTATTACCTCAACAACCAAGGGAGTCGATTCTGTTATTATCCCCATTTTACAGCTGTGGAAACTGAAGCACAGTGATTAGCTAGCCTGCCAAGTTCTCATGACTGGGAGGTGGAACCAGGGCTGACTGGCTGTCACCAAACTAAATCGCTTCCCGAGAATTAGCCTATCTAAGAATCAGGACCATGGAGTTCAAGGACTAGTCTAGTACAGATGCTCAGCTTTGGCATCTTTGTGGCCGGTTCTAGTCCAACTTTCTCATTTGACAAATGAGAAAAAAAGTGGAGGCTCAGCGAATTTAAGAAACTCACCCACCAGGTCACCCAGAGCTGGGCCAAAGAAGTAGATTTCCTTTTTCCTAAGTGAATGCTGGTCCTATTGTGTTTAGTACTCCTCCAGCCCAGGAGGCCCTTTGGCAGGGGAGGGGATTGTAAACAATTTAGGAGGGGAGGAGTAGGGTCCTGTGAAGGGAGGTTGAGAGAATAGTCCTGTTATGGGGCTATGGCCAGGCTGTGTCATGACCTCTGGCCCTGGGCACTTTGCCTTTGTGGGCCCCATCTCCATAATAAAGCATGAAAAATTATATATCATGACTGCACTGTTGTAAAGAGGAATGCATTAATATTACATATTAAAATTTTCTTTTTGACCTAAAGTTCATTTTCTTTCCTTCTGATTTTAAAAGAAATCAAAACATTTTCATAGCCTCCTAAAACTACTGTTATAGGCTGTGCCTGATCCATAAGGCAGCCCAGGCTGTGGGGCCTGGGAGGAGGGGGTGTGAGGTGAGTGGGTGGACACAGATGTTCTGCTCCCTGGCCCCCCGCAAGGGCCCAGGGAGGTTCTGTAATGAGTGGGAGAGGGTGAGAGAGACCAAGTAAAGAGAAACAGCCTAGCCTGTGTTTGGAAATGAAAGGGGTAGGGCAGTGAGGTAGGTGTCAGAAATGTCTTAGCTGCCCCAGGCCCTCCTTACCATCTCCAGCAAGGATTTTGGAGCCGGGCAGATCGGGGCTTGAATCTCAGCCCTCAGACTTTTCATTGCAGTGGGATCAACAGTTCCCATGACCTGGTGGTTAGAGGGTGGGTTCTGCATCAGCTTGCTTGGATTGAAATGAAACCTGGTTTCACTACTTTCTAGCAGGGTGACCTGGAGCAAGCTAGTTTTCCTTCTGTGCCAAATGTCCACTCCTATGGCCTTCCTCAGCTGTGAAGTTGGGAGACTTTGGGGATGAGCTGAGAGGACATCTGTGAGTCTGGAGCATAGTACCCCAGATGTGGTGGTTGTCCCATCCCCTTTGCCCTTCCTTCCAAACTTAGCAAACCATAAAAAAGATACTAGAATGACTCCTGAGTTTAAAGTTCCCCAGAAGAAGACATGCCATTGCTTCCCTTGAGTCTGTGTCTGTCCCCTCCTGGTTCTGAAATTCTTCTACAAGTATGACCTTAGCTTTAGCCTCAAATAGAGGGGCTCCAATGTCCCTTGTTTGTCTTTCCCTGTCTGGTCCTGGACATAAGAGCCTTCGAAATCCCAGCCAGCCTTCCACTTCTCTTCTAAATCCTCTCTTCACCCTTCTCTCTTTTCTAGAGTGTTTTCAGTTGTAACCTGCTGAGACCTCCCAGTCCTCAGCTCTCCCCTGCCCCCTTCCTGCCTCCATTCCCATGTTTCAACCACCGTTAAACATTTATTAGGCATCAGAGTGCTGAATCAATGCAAGGGGAAGGGCTCTGGTGGATGCCTGGAGAGGGCAGGCCACCCATGGAGGGCAGGCCCCGAGGAGGGGAGAATTGAGCTGTGCATCTGAAACCAAACAAGCCCCAACTTAGACTGCAGTCCCCTCCCCTTGTCCCACAAGCATTGCCAGCAGCACCCTCTCTCTCCACAACCCTGGGCCTCTGACTTGAAATGACTTTGATCCCACCCCGCCATTCAGCCTTGCTCATCTCCCAGAGTCGTCCTGCCGGAGCTCTTCCCCTGCCTCTTCTCACTGCTGCCTGTGGGTGGGAGGAGAAGGGCCCAGAGGGTCAGCTCTCCCTCACTGCCCCCGGAATGCACAGAGGCTCTCTGTACCTCCATTCCCACCATGCTCCCACAGCCCCCTCGCTCCCGGGAGGAGGCTCACCTCTGGCATCTGAGCTGGGGCCTCGGGAGTGATGTGAGCTTCAGTAGCTGCACAGGCAGAGAGCAGCCTTTGCTGGGGCCCCTCCCCCAAAGGCTCCCCCCTAATGACTCTTTCCCTCTTGTGACACCTTTCAGGAGACTGCCAGCCCCAGGAAGGGCCGGCTTCCAGTGGGGATCCACCCTGAAGCTGGGAGGTTCCAGAAATTAGTTTTTCTTCTGGATGGAGGTGGCTCAGTCTAGGCAGGGGATGGAGGGTGTGATATTCATTGTCCTTCCAGAGAAGGAAAGGTTCAGGGCAGCCCATTATCTCTTCAGAATCCTACAGAGGTCTTTTCCACTGCCCACTCACCAACATCGGCCCTGTATGTGTGTGTGTATGGGGGGGGGATTATACACCCATGGGCCAAGCTGTCTGTCCCCAGGGTTGGGGGTGGGTGGGCACTGATGGATGAGGCAAGGAAGGGAGACCTAGAGTCCTTCCCTTTGAGTATAACCCCCACCCCATCAGGGAGGGATGTGGTCCAGTAATGGGTGGGATGAGGAGCTGCTATGTCCCCTATTCCCTGTCCCCTATGTCTGTAGCTGAAAAAGATCGGAGGTGGGGGCTTTGGGGAGATCTACGAGGCCATGGACCTACTGACCAGGGAGAACGTGGCCCTCAAGGTGGAGTCAGCCCAGCAGCCCAAGCAGGTCCTCAAGATGGAGGTGGCTGTGCTCAAAAAGCTGCAAGGTGCGGGCTTAGGGCAGGGGGATGGGAGGGAAGAGGTGACGGAGCCAGGGGGCCAAGAGAGGCCATGGGGCCAGAGTCAGAGCACTGAGGAGACCAAGGGCAGGGGGTGGTGGGGGGAGAGGTGGTGCTGGGGCCAGGGCTGGGGGACTGAGAATCAAGAGTGCACCAGGAGGCACCTTAGGGTTGGAAGTAAGGAAGGAGTAGGAGTTGGGGGACCCCTGTCTGTGTCCCTCAGGGAAAGACCACGTGTGCAGGTTCATTGGCTGTGGCCGAAACGAGAAGTTTAACTACGTAGTGATGCAGCTCCAGGTGAGTCCCTGCAGCCCATTTCCTGGGGTGGGGCCTGGGGAAGGACGACTGGCCCAGGGGAGGAGTGGGGAGTGGCTGGCAGAGTATCACAGCAGCCATGGTCAGGATAGCAGCTGAGCGGGCAGCCCCTACCCCATCCCCACCCCCAGGGCCGGAACCTGGCTGACCTGCGCCGCAGCCAGCCGCGAGGCACCTTCACACTGAGCACCACGCTCCGTCTGGGCAAGCAGATCCTGGAGTCCATTGAGGCTATCCACTCCGTGGGCTTCCTGCACCGTGACATCAAGCCGGTGAGGGCTGCCCCCTCCCCACCCCACCCTCCTTCTCTAGGTCCCTTGGTTTCTTCTCCAGAACCTTGGCTGGGGTGGGGAATAGCCTCTCCCCTGCCTCTGGGGAGCACACACCCCTGCCCATCACTTGGCCATGCCCACACCCGCTCCTCTGTTCTTCTCTCCCTCTCCCTTACCCCTGCCCTGGATAGTCCTTGAACCTGGAAAGGTGCAGGGGTTCAGGAAGGATAGAAGGACTGAGGGAAGCTGGGGCTTAGTAAGGAGTTTCAAGTAGCTGATTTTGTGGCACATTAGTTCGTGGTTCAGGAAAAAGCCTCCAAATTAAAGGAGGGAAAATTGAGGCTCCAAAAGGTTGGTTGAACGGCCCCATGCCACATAGCAAGAATGGTGCCAGTCTCCTGCTGCCCTAGACCAGGACAGTTACACTCATCTAAATGGCTCTGCTGGGGAGTTTCAAGGACTTAGAGGCAGACAAACCTCAGTTCAACTTCTGGCTGGGTAACTGCGTGCTGTGTGACCTTGGACAAGCCCCTAAGCTACTTGACCTTCAGTTCCCCATCTCTAAGATGAGGACCATCACAGCTGCCCCTCCTCTGGATGCCATGCCCTGCTGCTGTGTGTGTTGGTATTTTCCTCTTACATGGGTGTACGTGGGGCTGAGGGTCCCCCATTGGAGCTGTTTCTCGGTGCCCCTTCAGGTGGGCCAGGCGGGGTTGGAGCCCCAGGGCTCACAGCTCCCATCCTCCCCAGTCAAACTTTGCCATGGGCAGGCTGCCCTCCACCTACCGGAAGTGCTACATGTTGGACTTTGGGCTGGCCCGGCAGTACACCAACACAACAGGGGACGTTCGACCTGTGAGTATCACCGCTCACAGGACCCCTGGCCCCTTACCACACTCCCTCATCTGGGGACCCTTTTTTTTCCTGCAGCTGCCTATGTGGGCCCAGCCCTGTTCGGTATCGGCTTCCCCCAACTCTGGGTCCACACTTGGCCTCTCCCCTCCTTCCCTTAGCTTAGGCCCTGTGGGTGCCCCACCCACACCGACTGAGCTGTCTGCCCACTCTGGTCAAGGATGGACACAGGGGCAGTGAGCAGGGTCAGGAGGCAGGTTTAGGACAGGGGTTGGTGTCTCAGGCTTGCTCCTTATCAGGCCAACTGGGAGGGTGGTAGTACGGGAAGGCCACCCACGTTAAAGTAGGCAGGGTTAGGCGTGGTCAGCGGAGCTGAGATGTGGCCAAGGACGGGGCAGTGGCTGAAGTTCCTGGTGTTCTCCCCTCTGCAGCCTCGGAATGTGGCCGGGTTTCGAGGGACTGTTCGCTATGCTTCTGTCAATGCCCACAAGAACCGGGTGAGTGGCAGAGCTAGGCATGAGGGGTATGGGGGCAAGAAGGGTACAAGTTGGGTAGAGTATGCTGCTAAGGAGGAGTAGGACAGGCAGTCATGGAGGTGGGGAGAGGAGTATGGGGCAGGAACTAGAAGCCGCCACTACAGAGACCCTGATCGGAAGAAGGCGCTGCTGTTGTCCCTCTTGACTGCACCTCCTTCCTTGTGTTTTTGGGTCCCCTCTTCTCTGTCCCCACCACAAATCCCTGTGGGCTGAGAAAGCACAGACAGAAGTTTGGACTGTGGGATTCTACATGTGTTGGTGGCTCAGGGAGGGAGCCATGTCTTCAGGGAGACCTCAGCTCTGCACATAGGGCCTGGGCATCAGACCTCCCTGAGTGGTGTCCCTCAGTGAAAGTTGGTGCCCCCACTGCCAAGGAAGGAAGAACCTGAGAACGATGGGTGGCCCCCTTCTCCCCCTCCAGGAGATGGGTCGCCATGATGACCTGTGGTCCCTCTTCTACATGCTGGTGGAGTTTGCCGTGGGCCAGCTGCCCTGGAGAAAGATCAAGGACAAGGTGAGGCCTGTGCAGCTGGGTCTGAGGAGGTGGAGATGGGATGCGGGGCTGGGGCTGCATCTCCCTGTGCCCTCTTGCCTCCAGGAGCAGGTAGGGATGATCAAGGAGAAATATGAGCACCGGATGCTGCTGAAGCACATGCCCTCTGAGTTCCATCTATTCCTGGACCACATCGCCAGCCTCGACTACTTCACCAAGCCTGATTACCAGGTGGGAGTCTGTCCCCAGACTCTGCACCCCAGACACCCCTCTAAGGGTGACTCTCCAGCAGCACCTATTCCACTGAGGTCCCAGGCCCGGAGCCCCTGCCACCTTGGTCTTAGCATCTCTCCCTGCTCTTCCAACTGCATGAAAGTGTCTTGTGCTCACGTAAACAGTAGTCATAGCTAAGATTTATTGTGAGCTGCCCTGTTCTCAGTGCTTTTCATGCATTAATTCATTTAAGCTTCAAAATAAGCCTTTGGTGGAAATGTATGTTCCTTTTGTTATTATTCTAGCACTTAACAATTAATGAAGCCAGTGCTTACTAGTATTTTACACCAAAACTTTGCAGGTTGTCAAGTGGGATAATTATCCCCATGTCATAGATGAGGAGCCCTGCCTGATAGCATGGTTAGAAGCAGAGCTGGGCTTAGGCACATCTTCTGACTCCAAGCCCAAGGCACCATCACCACACCGTATGGGCCCCACTAAAGCTGATAGGAAAATGGGAGAGACATCAGCAATGTTGTGCTCAGGATGCACTATGTTTAGGCACCAGGCTGCCCACACTGGGCAGCAGTGTTGGGCATGCAGTGGGTACTCGGTGCAGTGGGTCCTGCCAGCAGAAACTGCCATGCATTCTGAAGAGAGACATGTCAGCAGAATGGCCTTGGGGCGCCAGAGGGTCTCTAACTGCCTGCACTTCCTGAGTCCAAAGCCCTGGTTATGAGCAGAGAAGCCTCACTTGGGCCAGTAGTAGGCCATCCTCCCAATCCTAGCTCAGCCTCATGGGGAACCCCAAGCCATACAGCCATGAGCACATTTGCACTGGGCCCTGTGCTGGCTGCTGGGAATGTAGAGTTGGCAAATTGGCACGTGAACACTTCAAACCAATGCACCGTGCCACCCATGGGAGCTGTGTGGGAGGGGAAATCAGGGAAGGCTTTGGAGAGAGGAGAGGGCTAACGGGAAGGGCACTGCAGGCAGAGGAAGTGGCCTGTGCAGTGGTGTGATCCCAGGTGGTGGGTTTGGGAAACTGCCTGTGGTTCTGGGCTGCTGCTGATTCTGCTGAGATGGTGGAAATGGCAGAGGAGCCCGCAGATGGTAATCGGGACAGATAGCAGAGGGCTTGTGTTCAGCTAGTGAGGCTAAAACCAAGATGATAATTTGCATGCTGATTTGCATATCATGTGCACGTTTTCATTCAAAATCAATATACCCTTCTCCTTCCAGTGTGCCCTGTCGGCCAATTCCTGTCCTGGAAGGCCCCTCTCTTACCCTGCAACCCTAGCAACTGACCCTTCCACCTGACTAGCTCTGGGGTCACCTCTCTGTCCTCCCCCCACCCCCCCACTTCCTGCAGTTGATCATGTCGGTGTTTGAGAACAGCATGAAGGAACGGGGCATCGCCGAGAATGAGGCCTTTGACTGGGAGAAGGCGGGCACCGATGCTCTCCTGTCCACGAGCACCTCTACCCCTCCCCAGCAGAACACGCGGCAGACGGCAGCCATGTTTGGGTGAGTCTCAGAAGGGCTATGGCCCAGTGCGGGGCTGGACAACTGCCTGGGGCTGTCCCCAGAGAAGCCAGGCCTCTCCTTCCTTCCTGCCTGGACATGCCTGGCTGTTTCTCCCATTCTTGGTGCTCAACAAGGTTCTCAAACCCCAGGAAATTCTGCCACATCTCTACCCTCAATCTGGGGATGAAGTGGGTGTCCTCACTGGGAGTTTGGACCTTACAGGGGGGCAGAGAGTCCTGAGCTAAATTACCTGAGCCCCACAGTGCGTCTGTTTCTCAGTGCTCACATATATAAACAGGTCTTGAGCCCGAGCACCAGGCACCCTGGGGTCTCAGAGGAAAAAAGCTGCAGCCCCCGCCCTCCAAGTGCCAAATGCTCTGGATTCAAGTCAGGCAGGTGATAAACACAGATGGAGGTGGCTCAGGGAAGGGCTAGGGTGAGAAGGGGCTCCCCACCCAGCCGGGGGAGGAGCCAGGGAGAGATGCGGGCAGGGGCTTCAGGGACACCGTCAGTAAGCAGACTCAACAGGACTTGCCAGAATATCATGGTGTCGAGTTCTGTGAAGACTTGCTCAAGGAACCAAAGTGATTCTTCCCCTGGTCGAAGGGAAGATGGCTAGTGAACTGGATTGATAATCTGGCAGGGCCTGGAAAGCAATGGGGTCTTCTAAACAAATAAGAGTGAGGTAGTGCTGTGCCTGTCCCAGGCAGCCACGTCTCCTGGCAGCACTCTGCCAGCCTGAGGGTGGTCTGGTCTCAGGGTTTCAGGGTTTGTGAACCATGGATGGTGGCAGGCCTAGGGAGAGTGCCTCCATGCCAAGACCTCGCCTGTGCCCACTGCTGTGGGTGGCAGTCATCTCCGGGGTAGGAGAGGGCACCCTTGCCAGCCTCGCACATGGCCCCTCCTGGCCCCTCCAGGGTGGTCAACGTGACTCCAGTGCCAGGGGACCTGCTCCGGGAGAACACCGAGGATGTGCTGCAGGGCGAACACCTGAGTGACCAGGAGAATGCACCCCCAATCCTGCCTGGGAGGCCCCCTGAGGGGCTGGGCCCTAGCCCTCACCTTGTCCCCCACCCTGGGGGGCCTGAGGCCGAAATCTGGGAAGAGACGGATGTCAACCGGAACAAACTCCGGATCAACATTGGCAAAGTAACTGCAGCCAGGGGGAAGGATGCGCGTGACCTCCCCCTCCCACCTGGTTCCCATGCCCCGGAACCCCTCCCCATTCCACCTGAGTGCCCTCTCCCAGCCCGTGCTGCTTGCCCAGCCTCTCTGGCCTTGTCCCACCTCAGGGCCAATGGCATCCTCACCCTGGGAGAACCACTTGCCCCCCAGCTGCCTCGTCAGCCCCAGCTCCTGAAACTCCCCTCTCCCATAGACCCCCTGTGTGGTGGAAGAGGAGCAGAGCCGAGGTGTGGGGGTCCCCAGCTCCCCGGTGCGTGCCCCTCCTGACTCACCGACAACCCCAGTCCGTTCTCTGCGCTACCGGAGGGTCAACAGCCCTGAGTCGGAGAGGCTGTCCACAGTGGATGGGCGGGTGGAGCTGCACGAGAGGAGGTGGGTCTGGGGCCCAGGGGTGGTCAGAGGCCTCAGTCCCCTCTGCCTCCTCGTGGCTGGTCTGGGGGAAAGGCCAGAGGAAGGGTGGTGATGGTGAACCCTGGGGTGTTGAGAGGGTTACACTTGGGCCGGGGGTCAGACTCAGTTGGAGTCTGTGACAGGGCCTGGAGGGGTGGGGGATGCAGGGGTGCCAGCTCAGGGAGGGCAGAGGGGCAGGGGGCAGGCTGTAGGAGAGATAGGCTGGGCCTCCAGGCCGGTGGGGGAGCTGAAGGGCAAGTTGGTCAGTGGGTGCTTCCAGGACGCTTTCCCTCCGGGCTTGTTACAGATGCCTCCGAGGGCCTGCCTAGGCTCCCTCAGCTTTGGGGGAGGGTCCTGGAGAGGGGCTCCAGAAGGGGGAGACCACACTGTGGGTGTCAGGGCTCAGGGATCTGAATGTCAGGGACGTGGTTGGCGGGAGGGACGATAGGAAAGTTTAGAGCCAAGGTAAGCCTTCAGGATGGGGGATGGGAAGGCAGCCAGTGGCCGTCAGGGACCAGGGCCAGGTCCCACCTGAGATCTGGTGGGTGAGACAGCCTGGTGGGAGAGGCCCCTGAGAGACGCCCCCACCTTCCCGTGGCTCTAGGTGGGACTTCACCCCACACAAATTGAGGAAAGGGGCCATCTCCAAGGCCCAGCTCTGGGGAGGGTACCCTTCCCCACATCCATGTGGTGCGCCTCCTCATTCCCCCACCTCCACCGCGGCTCCTCCTCCGGATTCTGCCCCAAGTGCACTCCACCTCTAGGATGGGGCACCGGCCCTTGAGTATGGAGATGCCCGAGACAGGGGTGCCCTATGCTGGTCCCTGGGCCACCCCAGGACAGAGAGATGCTGGCCTTGCCCTCGGGGAGCTGACAGCCCTCACACACACTCACACTCATGCAGGCTGGCCCACCTGGGACAGAAGACCACATTTTCATCCATGGGAGCCCAGAGGGTTCAGGAAACAGGGACAAAGGAAGAAGAGTAGTTTGGAAGGGACAAGAGTAGAAAAGAGAGGTGGGAAATGCCCTGGACAAAGACAGCCCTGAAGAGCAAATTGGCTTGGCTCGGCTGAACCATTGTTTCAGGGATGGTGGGGAAAAGGAGAGGGCCGTGGAGAGATTTTCTAGAATCTAGATTTTCTAGGTTCAGGATCTCATAGGCAGGGCGGAAGGGCCAGGGGAACTCTGGAGCCTCTGGGTGGGAGGAAGTAGGAAGCGGGTGGGACTTGGATCACCCGCCTCCAGCCCCCTTCAGCCCCTCTCTTCCCTTGGCATCTCCCTCTCCTTTATCAAAACAAGCCATGCTCTCAAGAAAGGAAGTGACACCAGCCATTTACATGAAGTATAAATGTAAGACCCTAGGTGACTCCCTCTGGCTGTTTTTATTTTAAGCCTTATTAACATCAATAAAAATATTGTGTAGAGGGAGGAGTTGGCAGGGCCATGGTGGGTGGGGGAGTATGTTGAGAATGCCCCACAGGTGGCTTCCTCTCCCTATGCTGGAGAGAGTGAAGCCAGCCGGTTGCCCACAGCCTTCGTGTGAGGGTTTGCGCAGCCCCGGAGCAGCTAAGCCTCCGTGGTTCCCAGTGGGGGCCCCCTGGCGTTTGGGAGAGAACCATTCTCCCTTGGTAGCATCCTGCAACTAGACATACCCTTACTTGGGGCTGGTACCCTCCCTCAACCCAGCTGAGAACCTCTGGAAGTCATACACAGTTCACAACAGTTTAAGGTAACGACAGAAAAGATGTGCCAAGGTAGGATGCATAAACACACATGCTCCCTTCTGTGTTGAGAAGGGGACACAGGGAGCCCTGGGAGGATGCTAAGCCCCCATGCAGGATGGACAGGCTCCCTCCAGGGGTTGGTCAGACTGCAAAGGGACGTGGGGGGTGCATGTGTAAAGGCACAGAAATGTGAGTATGTGGGCCTTTTGGGGAAAACCGAGTGAATCTGAAATAGATCTGGCTAGGGAACAGGGAAACTGAGCTTCCTCTGGCAGACTGAGCACCAAACTAAGGAATATGGATTTTGTCCTGGAGCTGGGAGCCACTGGAGTTTGTGGGGGTGGTGAAACCTGCCAGGCAGGCCTGGAGGGTGGTGATAGAAAGACTAGATAAACCACCTGCAAACTCAAGGGCCAGGTGGATGCGTGTGCCCTGGATGCAGCAGGAGGAGCCCTTGCCGGGATCTGGAGCATAACGTTGGCTTTAGGAAGACCAAGTTTCCCTGGAGTGGTCCAGAGGAGAGTGTTATTTGGGCATAAGTACCAGATTTTCTTTTCTGCATGTTTATATCCCTGGAACACAGTAAGCATCAAAAACGTATGTTGAATGAATGAATGAATGAGATCTTTTTAAGGAGTGAGGTTGGAGGGTGACAACTCAGAAGGTGACTGGGCCTGGCTCAGGGTGGAAGAGGTGCTGTGGTCAGGAGGTTCCAGGTATCATGCTCCACTTGCCACCTACTTGGGGCACTTAGGAGTCCAGACAGGTCAGACACTGAACTCCACATGGGGTGGCTTTGCAGGTCACGAATGGATCTGCCGGGCTCACCCTCACGCCAGGCCTGCTCCTCGCAGCCGGCCCAGATGCTTTCAGTGGACACGGGTCACGCTGACCGGCAGGCCAGTGGCCGCATGGACGTGTCAGCCTCCGTGGAGCAGGAGGCCCTGAGCAATGCCTTCCGCTCAGTGCCTCTGGCAGAGGAGGAGGACTTCGATAGCAAGGAGTGGGTCATCATTGACAAGGAGACAGAGCTCAAGGACTTCCCCCCGGGGGCTGAGCCCAGCACATCGGGCACCACAGATGAGGAGCCAGAGGAGCTGCGGCCGCTGCCTGAGGAGGGCGAGGAACGGCGGCGGCCAGGGGCAGAGGCTGCGACCCGGCCCTGGGGGCGCAGCATGCAGACGCTGGCTGAGGAGGACCCTCGGCAGGTGCCACCCCAGCCCCCACCACCCCAGCTGAGCCAGGCTGATGGCCGGTCAGAGACATCACAGCCCCCAACGCCTGGCAGCCCTTCCCACTCACCCCTGTACTTGGGACCACACCCTCGACGGAGAGAGTCGGATCCCACAGGCCCTCAGAGACAGGTAAGGTTGGGCTTGCACCCCACTCCCTGTTCCCGGACACCCACAGTCCTGGCACGTGTGTGCTATGGGGGCTACCAACTAGCTCCCAACAGCTGCAGGCTGTGATGAAGGTAGGCAGGTTTAAGGGTTCAAAACCATGCTTGTGGAGGAGGCAAGGCTTCCCAGAGGAAGTACCCTCCAAGTTCTGAGTTGAGTCTTTCACTATGAGCAGTGTCAGCCAGGTGTAAGCAGGAGAGGGGCCTCCCGGGCCAAGGGGACAGTTCGTGTAAGGGCCTGGAGATGGCAGTCGGGAAGCCCTGCACTGACTGCATGTGGCAGCAGGTGAGGCTGCGAGGTAGATCCTGGGGCCTTGTCCTGGAGGGCCTTGGGGCTGTGCTAAGGGGTTAGGGCTTGATTTTAAAGGTTTGGTGAGCCATTGATGATTTTTAAACGGGTGCAACATGATTTCATTAATACTTTTAAATGATCCCTTTGACTGTTGTGTGGAAAATGGATCGAAGGGGCACAGAACTGTAAGCTTGAGGCTGCACGGCAGTGCCAGCGGGACAATGCCCTGGTGGCTTGGAACAAGGTCGGGGCTCTGAACGTGGGGCAAGGTGCACCAAGCCAAGAGGTGTTGGGGAGAGTATTGAGGGTCTGTGACAGAGCCAAGGGGGTCTTGGCTGATGGCATCTGGGTGGATGGTGGTGTGTCACTGAATGGCTTTGAAGGGAGCTTGGATTCAGACGGACAGAGTGACCTCCTGGTAGCTATGGGATGCTCATGTGGAGGCATCAGGGCTCAGGAGAGAGATCTCGATCGGAGATACGGATTGGGGGATCTGGGAAGCCACAGGAGTGGGTGATGTCACCCAAGAGGACTGTGTGGGGTGGGAGGGGCCCCAGGAGGAGCACACATCTGGGGAACACTCACAGCTGAGGGGTAAGAGGAAAAGGAGCCCTCAGGAAAGACAGAAAAAAGAGCCAGAGTGTGAGAGGAGCAGCCGGGGAGAGGTCCCTGGGCATCAGGGAAGGAGCAGCTGGAGGGGGGCAGGGCTGCAGGGAGGGCAGGGGGCTTCCTGCCGTCAGGGCAGACAAGCCAGGATGGACAAACCGCAGTGGGGAGAAGCAGAGCCAAGGCAAGAGGGCCCCCGAGTGGGCACAGGGGCAGGTATGCTGGGGATGTGCAGGGACACCTTCTCATATGGGAGGACTGAAGGACAGGGATGGCAGGGCAGGGAGGGGCCAGAGGGTGGCCGACTCGCGTACACTGGGTTGAGGGTCTGCAGCATGTCTCATGGCATTTTGGTTATTTTCTTCTGACAAGGATGGGGTGTCAGCCGAAGGCAGAAGGCCATTGGCCTGATTTCTCTGCATGGGGCAGAGGCTGACCTCTGAGCCAGGAAGTGGCATCAGCTCTTGCTCTGAGTGCTGGATGAGGTCCGTGTTCCCTTAAGCTGGGAGCTGGGGAGGGCTGGGGAGGGCCAAGGAAGGGCTGTGCTGCATTCCGTTCGACTGTCCCATGTGGTGGGCATACACCCAGGTGCTCTGGGAGATGCCAGCATGCAGGGCTGGAGCCAGTTCTGCTGCATATTCAGATCGGGAGGCTCAACCTGGGGGCACTCAGGTGCCCTGGACAAGAGAAGCTCCAAGCAGGGCTGTATTCAGGCTCCATCCCTGTGTCTAGAAAAGAGGACCTCTGAACCAAGAGATGTATGTCCCAACATTTCCCAGGACTCTGGAAAACTGGGGGCTCAAAAATGGGGACCATGAGCCCCCACCCAGAGAGATCCTAGCAGGCCTGAGGTGAAGGCTCAGCCAGAGCAGGGTGTGAGCTAGCACAACTGTGTTGCAGACCTGGACATTGTTCGCACCAGGACCAGCATTTGGGAAGCAGGAGAAAGAGCAAGATCTGTTTGGGGCTCCCTTGCCCCCCTCTCATTCATTCATGCATGCATGGATTTAATAATTCACCACCTAGGCATTCCACATGGACTGAGCATCTATACCATACTGGGGACAGAGGCATCAGAGATCATATGCACAATAGGTTATGCCCACAGGAAGTGCAGTCTTGAAAGAAGACAGGCAGTGGTGGTGTAGGGTAGAGAAAAAGCCCAGAATTAAAGGTAGGACGTCTAGGTTCTGGACCTGGGCTCTGCTGGCCCTTTGCTGGTGACTGTAGGCCAGTCAGGTCTCAGAGTAATGGAGCTGAGTTATCTGAGAGGTTTTTCTCACCTTCAGATTCCCACCTGTGTCCTGAGAGTCATCCTTACATTGGGAAAAATACAGCCAAGGGGGTAAGGAGAGAGATTTGGGGGAGAGGGCACAGGCCTGTTGTACAGTCAGTCCGTCTTGGGTTCAGGACCTGCTCTTGACATGGGCCAGTGCTGCCCATCTCAGCCAGACATGAGTTGTGTGTGTCTGGAGGGGTGTTTAGTGTTCATGGGCCTTGGCTTTCCTGCAGCATATAGAAGCCAGGTTGGTTAGTATACCACGACTGTGTGTGCATTTCTGTTGGTGTAGCATTGGTGTGTTGGTGTGCCCATAGATGTGTACATCCATGTGGGCGTCCACATCAACCCGTCTGTGTGGAGGATGAACTGGGCCTTTCAGTGTGTAGAGAACTACAAAAGCCTGGAATGTTGGAGCTGGAAGGATCATAACAATCACAGCAATAATTCTAAGGACTAATAATAGCTGGCACAATTCTGGGCACTTCTGTATCTTACATGAGTAGTCATCACATCAACAATGGGAATAGGCAACCCCCACTTAAAAGGTAAGGAGACTGAGGCTCACAGGAGCTAAGTCTTTAGCCCAGGGTCACCAGCTGGGAAATGTTAGAGTCAGAACTTGAACTCAGGCAGCTGGCTCCAGGTTGTGCTCTGAACCACTCAGTCTGAGGCCTGTGTGGTTAGGACAGGAGCAAACTGGACAGAGAGAGCAGAAGGTTCATGTCAGAGAGCTGGGGTGTGTGTGTGTGTTGCATGCACGCTTGTGTGTGTGGTCACTGGCCAGGCCACATCAGCAGGTGTGCCTGTGAGCATGTCAGTGTGCGTGATGCCCTCTGTGCTTGTCCATGTGTGAGCACATGGGTTTGGCCTGTTTGGCTCTGTATTTCAGTACAACTTGGTGAAGCAGAGACCCTCTTTCCTCAAGGGCAGGAGAAGAAGCAGAAATGGACTGGCGTGTTTTTCTGTCATCCTTTGGTCTGGAGGGAATCCTGAGCCCTGCCTGTGTGAGGGCTCCCAAACCTGGCTGCACACTGGCACCACAGTTTGTGCACACCCCCCATAACTGGATTAAGTGGCTCAGAGCAGGCCGGAAGCCTCTATAGAGACTCCCTACCCTGCCACCTTTCTGCAAGGAATCCCCTCCTAGACTTCACCCTGACTGCTCAGTGCTGATGTGTGAATTCCTCAAAGTAGCAGTCATTAAAGATATGTCAGCTGCCCCTATGGGGAGCAGGGATGAGGATAATGTGGAACCAGGCACAATCTGAGAGCATCTATTGTTCTTTGGTGTGCATTTTAAATTTTCTTTACACACACCTCACTTTTTTTTCTAGGGAACTTAAAGGTGCAACTTAAAAGTGGCTGGGAAACCAAGGGCAGAGGGGAAAGCAGCAAGAGTGTGTGATTTGGGGAAGGGATGTTTGCCACCCTTTGCCCATTGTCTGGCTGATAACCCAGCAGGTCAGCGTTCCCTGAGTACATGGACTTTTGTTTGGCAGCCACTAGGACATTTCTCTGCCACGTGCCAGGCATTGCGCTAGGGAAGTGGGACAAAGATAAATAAGGCTTCATAGTCCTGCCCTTTCGGACAGTCAGGAGGGGTAAGGTATGGATTGAAAGGTGTAAACATGGATGTTTATGATCAAGGGCCATAAGCGAGATCGCAGAGAATCTCTTCTCTGCTGGGAGCAAGGAGACTGCCCAGAAAGCTGGCTTGCCTCACAGAGGTGGTACTCCAGCTGGGCCTTGAGGACAAGTAGGTGGCCACAGGTAGTATCTGGTGTGAAGGAATAGGATCAAATCCCCCTGGTAGCTGACCAAATTGGCTGGGGTGTTAACCTTGAGCTATTCCAAGGGGAGTGGGCAACTGTGGGTGTGTCTGTCCCTTGATATCCCTGGGTGGTCCTCAGACCCCTAACCCTCAGCACAGAAGGGACCAGCTCAGAAGAATCCTACACTTGGCCAAAAAGAAGCTGGAAGGCAAAGGAGGGTAGGGGCAGAGACAATCCCATCAGCCAATTCTTTCTCCTCCCTTCTCTGCTGGAGGTTCCATGCTGAATCCTTGTGTCCCCACTTGACATATGCAAGGGGAGACACTGGAGCTGAGTGTCCCAGGCCCCCTGGGCTTTTAGCCTCTAGCAGCTGGCCCAGCCAGTCCCCACTACCCCACCAAAATCTATCTACACTGGCCTCAGCCCCAGGAAGAGCTAGGGGTCAGGATGGGAAAGGTTTGGTGACGCCCAAGCCACCACTTCCAGCCCCCACATGCTGGAGACACTCAGTCCACTTTCCCTTCCCTCTGAGGGCACGAGGCAGGAGGGCACAAGGTGGGATTCTTCCTGACGGCAGCGAGGTGGCCAAGCCCCTCCCATGGGCTGCCTTGTGGCTCAGCCTTGGAGAGAATGGGGAGAAAAACACTTCGTGGAGAAATGATTTTAATTTGCCACCGCCCTCCATTCCTCTATCCCGTTCCTCATTCCCAAGAGTGATTTGAAGGGTAACCACACAGCTTACCTGGCACAGCATTTACTCCATGGCAGGTACTGTTCTAATAACATGTAATCCTCACAACAACCTATGGCTGGGAACCACTGTTGCCCCCATTTCACAGGTGAGGAAGTTGAGGCATGGAGAAGTGAGGTAGCTTGTTTGAGGTAGTAAGTGGTGGAGCTGAGGTTCAAATATGAGTGGTGGGGCTCCAGAGTCCTACCCTTCTACTACACTCTGTCGTTAAGACCCTATGGCCCCACCAGGTGATGGGGGCAGGGGTGCCCAGGTAGGGGGTGTGCAGGGAATGTTCTCCAGAATTCAGGAGGAGAATGGAGTCCAGCTGGAAAGCAGATGGCAATCAGCTGCCAACACATGGCAGGTAACAGTTGCAGAGGGGCCTTCCTGAGGGGGAGGATCTCCCCCCGCCACCCCCCAGAGGGAACGCTGAGCTAGGTGGGGCTAAGCCAGGAAGGCTTCCCTGAGGAGGTGAGTGACCAAGGTCTCTGCAAGGAGGCCGTGGTGTGAGAAGTGCCAGAGAGGACAAGGAGGGGGAAGGGCGCTGGAGGCCGGAGCCTAGGTTCTGCAGCTGGACGGGGGGCGCTGTGCACCCCCCCACACACTGCCTGACCCTGCCCACCTGCCTAGGACGCCAGCGCCGCAGGGGCTGTGAGCGGTGGGTGGTCCCCGAGATGGAGCTGTCGAGTCTGTGCCTGACGCCTCTTTTCCCTCCACTTTCTTGGTCTCTTTCAGTTGGAGGAGGACAGACTCTCGGGGCACTCCCTCCCGCGGTACAGCCCCCTGCGACGACTGGCGTCCTCCGTGTTCTCCTCCTCCACGCTGGAGACCGAGCATTACCCTCACCCCGGCGGCGGCGGCTCCTCGGGCTCCTCCGGTTCCCTCATTCAGCGCAGCCGCTCGGCGGAGAGCAGCCCCGTGCGGGCGCCCCACCGACGCCACGCGCCCCTCGCCGCTGGCAACCACAGACTCGTGCCCTCGGTGCTCCGCATCTCGCGGTCCCAGCTACAGCAGGTGTGGGCCCGCTTCACCCACAAGACCTAGGCTGGGCCCCCCCCCCTCCTGGAGGGGGCAGGTGGGGGGGGAGCAGGCAGAGACCATGGTTCCTTCCCAGGACGCAATAATCATTCACTCACACACCCCACTCCACCGCATCAGGCAATATGGCCCCCATTAACGTTGGCCCAAGGTACTGTAATATCCCCACCCCACATCAGTCCCTTTGCTTGGTGCCAGCCACGTGGTGCGGGAGGGGTGGGGCTGTTGGTGCAGTTTCCAAGACAGGACAGGGGCATCAGCTGGGGCCACCTGTGGCTCTAGAGGCCAGTGGAAACCAAGGTGTTAGGGAAATGAGGCATGCTGGGTCAGAGTTAGACTGGCACAGGGTTTATTCTGTTTAATCTGTGATCTCTTGGCATGTCTGGGCTTGGCCCATCCCTGAGGGGAGTGTCAGAAGACTGGGACCCTCTCCTTGGGATGTGAGTGTCTGTCTGTCTTGTGGTGCAAGCCTTGAGGTGGGAGCCTGGCCAACCAGGTTCAAGGTTTGGAGGGGAGTGCCTCTATACTTGAAGATACGGGGGAAGCAGCCCTGTGACCCACTGGGCCTTTGCCATGCCGTTGCCACTGAGGACAGAGTTCCTGACTCTTGCATCTCAGTCCACTGAGTGCTGCCCCTCTCCAAAGGCACATGGGCTATCACCCACTAGTGGGATTGGAGCTGAGGATGGATGAAGAGGGGCCTCAGATCTACTGCTGAGAGGGCTCTGGAACCTAGGGGTGATGGGAGCTAGTCTAGAAGCAGTGGCAGAAAGGGTGGTTGTCAAGAATGCTGCAGGACCTGAGAGCTCAGCATAAATTTCTGCCAGCAGCAGCCCCACCACTGCCCTTCTCAGAGGATTACTCCTTCCTATAGGTGCTCAGCCAAGCCAGCTGGGCCAGGGACTGTGGTGAAGGCAGAACACAGTATAGGCAGATCAGATGGGGATCTGGAGATGGGTAGGGGGTCAGGATGCCAGAATGTCCATTTCTCAGCCCCCAACTTGTCACTGTAGGGATCCCCACGGTTCATTTCCTGACCTCCTGTCCATGTCAGCCAGCACCTCTGTTCTCCTGGGTAATGGGGTAGTGGTGAAGAGGGCACCAGGGAGGGCAGTGCCTATATAGGAAGGGAGGAGGCCTGAAGGTTTGGAAAACATTTATTGCCATGAGACTGTATCTTTGTATGTGCTTGTGTGCATCTTGTGATTATGAGTGTGCTTTTGTATGAACATTTGTGCATGTGGCAGGGCTGCCATGGATGGATGCTCAGGCTGTGCACTGCACAATTTCAGGGCATGCCACTTACATAGACTCTAATGTGAATGGCACCCACTAAAGTTGCAGTGCTGCAGCCTTATGTGTGGGTGTGCATGAGTGTGCATGTGTGTGTGTGTGTGTGTGTTAGGAAGTCAGAAAGATTATTTGTGCAGTTCTTGGTAGTTTCCTATGTACCTACTCTCATTCTGGCTCCTCTCTCTACCCTTTTCTCTTTTTGATCTCTGCCTCCCTCCCAACTCAACTCCTTTCAATCCTCAGCTATCTCTGGCTGAAGTAGAGGCCTCACAACCCCTGCCCCAGCCGGGGGTGGGGGTGCCATAAGTGGGTGAGCAGTGTCCTTCAGCTGAACTGTCTTCATACATGGCCAGCAATGTGGTATGGTTCATTCACTTGAGTTATGCCCACACCCACTACACTCTTTTCTCCAAAATCTCTTTCTTTTTGAGGATATCTAGGCCAAGTGCACCCTCCCAATCTGGAAATGAAAGCCAGACCAGTTACTGGACCAGTACTCAAGCCCCTCCCCCAACCCCATCCTGGCTGTTCACTTTTGAACCTCCCCAAGTTCAAGTCTGTGTTGCTCTCCAGGCTGTTTTGGGTGGCTCCATATACTGCCATGGCAGAAGGCAGAGAAGGGGTCAGGGTAGACCCTTTGAGGAAAAGGACAGAAAACACAAAGCACAAAGGTGGGGATGGGGAATGAACAGTAGCCCCACTCCCTGCCTTCTGGTACTGCCCCACATTCTCCTCCCTACCCTCAGGCCCTCTTCCCATCCTTCCCAGCTAGTGGCAGGGGGTAAAGTGAAGGGGAGTCTGTGCATCAGCCACTCCAAAAGTCAGCAGCAGTGGGAGAAGGCCCCTGCATCTGGGTTAGATGAAACTGAGTACTCTGTTATCCAGCATTCCCTTTCCGAGGTTCCACTGTGCAACCCTGAGCACAGCTCCCACTCAGTGGCCAGACCCTGAAGTATTCTAAGATCCAAAAGTGCCTTGTGACATATCAGAGATGATGGCACTAGCTTCAGACTTTTAGCATTAAATACGTATTTCTGTTTCCCAAGCCTTTGGAGGTAAGGAATCCTGTTACGCATTCTAAAGGTAGCTGAATTTTCAAACACACACACACATACTCCAGAACTGATACCTGTAGGAGAGGGTGTGTCCTTTAAAGTAAGCTCATGATTCAAAATATTTTGTTCTTTGGGGACATCCTTCTGCTCCCCACCGTGGTGGAGGAGTGTCTTGTAAGCCATAAAGCTCTGAGCTAGCAGGAGGTGATCCTGATAATATTATTATCTTTTGAGGGTGGCTTTCACTTTTGGAAACAGCTAAGGCCATTTGAAACCACATGTGTTGGATCAAGTTCACATGAAGCTCTTCGGAGTCCTGCACGGATTGGAGCTGAGTTGCCTGTCTCAAGTTCCCAGACCAGGTAGGGAAGGTGTGAGCCTGCAGTGTAGTCAGGCTCTTTCTCCTGCAGGATTTGTCAAAGTGGAAACCAGAATGTTCCAAGACATGATAACCCTGCCTGGAGAAAGTGCATGACTTTCCCAAGGTCAGCTTTCAAAGGCGGCAGCACTCTGTTGTACTTTGAAAATGATGTTTTTGTACTTTGTAGGCACACCCTGCACATAGAGGTGGCTTCTAGTTATTTATTTTTCTTTTATTTAACAGTCACTGGCACACAGTGCTCATTATGTGCTAGGCAGTGATCTAAGCACTTTATAACATTAACTCATTTAATCCTCATGATAGCTGTGAGGTAGATCCCACTATTATGTGCATTTAGTGGACTAATCAGATTATTTAATTTACAACTACATATAAAAACCCCTGCCAATGCCAAATAATTGAGGTCTTGTTTGATAGAAGTTTTAGAGTATTTAAGTCTGTGTATTGTTCTATTTACTGTCCTTTCTGGTTGGCTCTCCTCATTCTATCTAAAAAGAAGGGAATTTTCTATGAGCCAGATTCTCCTTCCTTTTCCATTCCCATGTTGTCGTGGGATGGCATCCCAATGGGGGGTCTCTCCAGGGACCCAGCTTCTCAATCTCACATGGCCCCAAGCATCTCATAGCAGCTCTGGAGATTAGTGGGTGAAGTAAGAGTTATGGCGAAAAAGTAGCTGCTCAAAACCCTGACCTCAGTTGTATTGATGGGGTACTGGGAGTCGGGCTCACAGATGGGGCAAGTAGTGGCATTGGTGAGTTGGGCCAGGGGATTTGAGCTAGGTGTTACCAACTCATACATCAACAGGAGCGGAGCAGTGTCAGGAAGTGGGCAGGTTTGGGGCAGAAGGCCCCCTCCCCCATCATGCTCAGCTCAGCCAGTTGTTGCCACTGTCTTCCAATTTTTATGTGAAATCTCCCGATTTTTAATTATTGGCACTTAAGTTTTAAAAACAACTTTAAAAAAAATCACCATGTGAGCAAAACAAAATCGGTTTCTGGCATACCTTGAACTCAGTTTGCAACGTCTGTGAGCCTGAGGCCTCCCCATCGCTCTTTCTGTTCAAGGCTGCAGTGCTGAAAGGGCAGCAGTGTTCTTCCCTGGGAACTCAAACCAGGTGGGCTTCTTAGAAGAGGCAGCTCACAGCCAGTGGAGATGTGTGGTGAGTGCTGTGTGTACATGTTGGTGACCATATGGTTTGTGTGCCTGAATGTGTGTGTGGGCCAGTGGACTTGTTTGTGGTGAGTGGGGTCCTCCTCATAAGACCAGAGTTTTCTCTGTGGGACAGGACTCTAGGACAGCATAAAATGCTTTAGTAGTTCTCAGTAATGAACAAATACCCCCACGCACCGAAGACAGCTTGGGTCACAGCAATAACCATTCAACACTCATCCCAACCACTAGCACCGAACCTAGCAATCTCCTTTTGCATTTCCAGTTTTGGGAAAAAAAAGCATAGCCCTATCCAGCATGAGGGAGAATGATGGTACTTCTGAGCCATGCTGGCACATGAACCCTTGCTTCCCCAGCTAAGTTGGGGTGGGCATGCCCTTCCAATCCCAGGAAAAGCCAGGGGTCCTCTCTGCTGGGTTGGGTCCCAGGACCCTTTACTATTTCTCTCCTCTGCTCTGCCTAGGTCCCTTTTTCTGGGGTGGGGTGGTGCTGTCTGGCCATGCAGTGGTGGGTGAAGCCTGGGCCGCTGGGGTGGGCAGAAGGAGCTGTTGGAATGTGTCTATGTTGGGTGACCAGGGGAGGGGACCATGTTTAGGGAGGGTGTGAGGCCCCTGGCTGTGGGATCACAGGGAGTGCTGTATACTATGCTGTCCTTGGGCTGATTTATTACCTGAGGATGGAAGCATAGATCTCTAAGGACCTGAATACCACCCCACCCTACCCCAAACTCCACTGAGATTCCACCCCCATGGGCATCCTTGGTACCAAGGAGTGTGGCAGATCACTCTCCTGAAGTTGGGGGACATGCCTCCAAAGTTTGCATTATTCTCATTAGGAACAGAGGAGCCCCTGGGACTGTTGGGGTCAACCTCTGAAATGTTTAAAGCATCCTTCTCCCTAAGGGAGAGGCTCCCAGCCTGCCACATCCCTCAAATACCCCAAATCGTTCTCCACACCACCCCAGTGGGCTTCCCAGCTCAGGGAGCCCCTGAGCCTAAGCGTGGCCCCTCCTTCCCCAAGTAGAGTTGAGAACAGTGGAGGAGAAGGGGTAATGAAACCCAAAGGACTATGGGAAC